TGAAAACATATTTACCGTTTCCTTAGTTTGAGTCCTGACACACTCGAGAGTGTGCCCGAGTCCCACAAAACAAGGCTCTGATACCAACTTGTAACAACCCATATTTTCACACAGATTTTACATTTTTAATTAAACCAAATCATTTTCACAAAATATGAAATATCAATGACAATTGTTTTCAAAATCCATAACATCAATATTTTATTTCAAGTATCAGAGTGTCCTTACAAAACAAATGTCGAAGAGTACATGTCGCGCCATCAAGCCTTGCCATTGCCCTTGGGCTCAGATGTACCTGAAACAAATCAACAAAATGTAAGCTAATGCTTATTGAGTTCCGCAGAGCATACCCCACACGATCCACATAATCACATAATTTATATTAGCTATAAAAGCTACATAAACTACCTAAGCCATGCATATCAACCTATAAGGATATCGTGGAAACCTTCCAAAGTCTTACTCAGGGTGCCACTGGAACCCTCACGTGGTCTAAACCCACTATCATGGGAACCCCCACATGGTCTTAACTACCTGCCATAGGAACCCCCACATGATCTTCCCTAACACATAAAATATCATATAACTAACCATTCAAACATACTATGATGCCATGGAAACCTTCCAAGGTCTTACATTGAATGCCATGGGAACCCCAACATGGTCTTAGTCTATTGCCATGGGAACCCCCTATGGTCTTCCATACTAGTATCATAAAGATAATTATCATATCACATATCACGCAGTCAACTAGCATTTCATATAACACATAATGGGTCGGCCTTGGTGACTTCGACCCATTGATATGGTGAGGAGACTCACCATTCAAAAAGGTTAAGCTGTTAAGATAAGATCTGATAAGTCCCAACACATAGCTCCCACTCAACTGCCTACAATCATCCTATGACTAGCTTGTCAAAATCCCGAAATACCAGAATTACCCTTATGTTCAAACTTGGTCAACCATGGTCAAATTCAAGGTCAACAGTCCATGTTGACCCGACTCGTCGAGTTCTTCTAGTATCCAGAAAACTGGGACAAACCCAAGTCAACTCGCCGAGTTACCTGTGTAACTCGTCGAGTTCCTTAATGTCCAGAAGACCAAAAACTCATGTAGACCGAAAAATCTAATCCCTCATTGAAATTACTCAAAATCTAAAAAACGTACCCGACTCATCGAGTTGGTTAAGCAACTCGTCGATTCCCTTAAGTCCTTTTTGTGTATAGCTCTTTCCAGTGGAATCTAAGGCTCTAAATTACAGATCCAACCCATTATGGTGTAGTTACCATGTAAAGTTGCAAACTTTACGTGCATGCAAGGCCTCGAATGGCTTAAACACTAAATCTAGGGTTCATACAATGTTTAGGACATGGAAAAGGGCCTAGACTAGGTAAACAAAGCAACTTGATGTCATTGAAGACCTAGAGGTGTCCAAATCTGGAACCATGTGCTCATGACAAGTCCAAATCCGAGTATGACACCCTTTTGCACCAAAAGTGACCATATTCTTCTATAAGATGAGATCTAAGTAAATAGAGATCAAGGTAGCAACTTTTTACCTCTAATGGATGCTAACACCAGGTAGATGTCGTACCTGAAGCCCTCTCCTCGCTTCAATCTCTTCAACCTTCAAGTTTCCTTCCAAAAGCACAAGATTCACTCTCCAAGGCTCACACACACTCAAGAAAGCACCAAAATGCGGCTAGGGTTTCTCTCTAGATAGATAGGATGATGAGGTTTGCCACAAATGATCCATAAGTTCCTTAAATATGGTACAATCCCTAAAAATTAGGGGTTTCCTTTACAGTGCATACTCGTCGAGTCAGGGCCTTCCGACTCGTCGAATAGATTCTAAGTCCTGCATCCTCATAAATGATCTCTACTCGACGAGTTGGAGCTCCCGAACTCGTTGGGTTCAAGTCTAAAACTCTAATTCACTAAAAAATTAAATGATACCTGGAACAGGTGTTACAAAGAGAAACCCAACTAACACTATTACCTAATACGACATCCACAAAACGATTTTGGTGGACCCCATACCCACACTACTCCAAGGATCGATTAACCCAACTCAAAACAACACCTACTCCAAGAATCAAAATCCACAAACTGAAATTGAACCTCCTATGTATCACCACTATATGGGCCCTTACTTCGAGGAGCTCCTAGTTGATGTTGTTTCTCATGTTTTCCATTTCGACTTGCATCCCCATAGCCAACAACTAATTTTTATTGGGGATGTCTAAGCCCGGTGTGTGGAATCCTCCGTAGGAAAAGCTACCTAACGATGGCATGATCGTTGGGGTCTTGGAAGTTATAAAGACACAAAGAAGAAAATAGATAGACAATTTTTGCTCTGTAAGGGTGACAAAGTAAGGATGTTAAACCTAAAATGGAATGTGATTATTTAAAAGGGACCACAAGCCAGATAAGAACCCTTACTCCCCAAGGGTTGTCCTATTCATGCCATATAATGACCCTACTCGAATTTAATTTATCCTACATAAAAGTCCACATCACTGAGATAGTTAATTCTTGTCACTTTAACCTAATGTAAAAAGGTAAAATGACTTTTTAAAATGGTCAAATGAGACTTCATTCCCTTTTTGTACAAAAAAAATAGATGGGTGACCTTTCAAAACAAAAGTGGAAAGTTCATTGGGCTATGAGTAACAATTATTGAACAGTTGGTTCAAGGTTGGTTCAATGACGGACACAGAGTATAAAAATGTGTGCATTGATTGTGTGGGAGAGTAAAAAATGGGAGAAGAATGTTGGTGATTTTAGTTTCATCATGCATTTTATGCAATTAGAACTAATATATGAGTTAAGAGGTTTATGATTTGTACTCTATAATAAATGTTCAGTGTGTGTGTGGAGTGCACACACACACATACACACACACACACACACACACATATATATATATATATATATATATATATATATATATAATTGAATTATAAGCCGGTACGACAAAATTGCTCTATAAGTCGTGCGCCCTTGCAAGGTCTTAGGGGTGCAGAGCCCTTGAAAGTGGTAAAATTGACAAACCTCATCGATTTGGAAGCTATTGGTTATGTCATTAATTATGAGATCTTCTTAACTACTTCAGAAGATGAAAACGCTAATTGTTGAGTATAAATACGACGCTTCTCTTTGAGCGGTGACAAACCTTGTCATCTTTAATTCTTCTCTGACAAAATCAGAATTCTTCTAGCAATTTGACTTACGTTTTTGTGCCTAGATTTGTAAGTGTCCCTTTGGATTATCCTAGGCTGGATTTCTTCTAACATGGATATAACGTAGAAATATCAGTCCCGAAAGCAAACCTATGGGAATCTAGATTTCCACCATAAAACTCTTCTAATTCCTAACAATGAATGTGTGAGTGAGTGTTAATATAATGGGTGTGTAAGTTGTGTCACATCGGGGAAGAAAACATATCGACATAAATTGATTTAGCATTTGAGTTAATAGTATACAAAAGCAATAAGAATGGTGATGGTCTTACTAAAGACTTCAAACGTGTTTGAATAAAGGACTAGTTTTGTGGGATCACGTTTCTTTCCTTTGTATACAGGAAACAAGATCTATCAAAATGATGGATTGATTATCAGAGCCTTGTGAGGTAATAAAAATTGTGCACGCGTTGACGTTGATTCAGTTGGCATTTCTAGTGGTATTGTCTTTGTGTAGTGAGGATATGCATATGGAAAGGAATTACGTAGTAGTCACTGGAATTTGGAAATCCTGCAATCTTCCTTGTGTGTTCATCAACAATACGCAAGACATCAACCCTAAGCACAAGCTTTTGAACTCCATTTCATATACTATTTATGGAGATCCTGATCGTTCATGGCTTTTATGTGGAAACTTCAACAGAGAAACCCAGTCACATAAGAGTTCTATTTACTGCAATACAAGTGTTCTTAATTTTATGAATTTTATTAATGCTTTGGACATCTTGGATTTGAACAACAGGAGAAAGTATATTTTGATGAATTGAGATAGGACTAAGTTTAGTAAAGTAAATTGTTTCTTGATCTGGGACTACTTTGTTCAATTTGGCCAACTCATATGTTGTTTCCCTACCAAATATGTTGTCAGACCACACGTTCTACTCCTCTTACTCTCTAATAGCCCAAACTTCAACCATCTCATTTCCAATTCTCTAACTCATGGTTGAGAAACATTGATTTGGAAATTTTAGTGAAAATGAATAAATGAATAAAAGAACGGGGTTGAATGTCTTCTCCAATGTGGAGAAGCTTTCCAAGAAACTTCAAGCTCTCAAATAAGCTATTAAATCTTGTGCAAAGAATATGAAGAAAGGCAAAAGATTTACCTTGTCCAATTACGCTCAAACTTTTTCCATAACTTCCTTACTACTTCTCATATGTTAGACTAGGGTTGAAACAAGATGATTATAGTTGGAATTATGGTTTAGACTTGGTTTTATGTAATTAATCATTGATTCATTGTATACTTGTTGATCATACGTGACTATTAGGTGTTTACTCAACTCTAAAAAAAAAAAAAAAAAAAAAAAAAAAAAAAAAAAATCTATTTTTAAATTGAATCTATTTTGACACCCTACGTGTCTACACATAGGGCGGGTTGAGACTTATAGTCACTTGTGACTTCGATGTCCAAAAAGGAGAAATGGGTACCTATATTAGAGGATTAGTGATTTCTTTCTAGATAAGTCTCACAAGCATAAACGACTTGCAACCCCTAGGTTAGTTCTTATGGTGGCTCTATAGAACCTAGATTGGATAGGAGAGAGTGTACAATTTTCACACAAGCCCAAAATGGAGAGAGTTATAAAACTTGCACGTCCCATAAAATGTTTCATGGTAATTTTGTCAAGGAGGCTTGAGGATTTTGCATCAATGATGGAGGTATATCGTACTCTATATACTCACTAAATTTTGTGCTTAATAAAAATTGTAAATCGGTGGTTCCTATTTGGAAACAGAATACGATAAGCACTTGTTGATGATTGAAAATTAAAATCTTTTAACAAATACCAGAAGATCCACACAACAACAAAGTATCCATAACATGATTAAAACAGTAACAACATTTGTACCCAAAAACACAAAGCATTGTTCTTTAACATAAGAAATCCAAAAAGGTAAACATGACTAGAGTTTATCACACACACACACACACACACACACACTGAAAAGAAACAAAGGGTAACCAGGAGAGACAGTCTCTGATATCATAAGATCAAGAAAACCTGAAAATTTAAATTTATAGGTGTAAGGGGTAAAATTCAGATAAGTAAAGATAAATAAACAGAAATAACCATACTCCAAAGCATCATGAGTAATAATCTTAAACATAAATAAGAAGTTATTATTGTTCTAAAAACTTAAACAAGCTCAAGATCCAAACATAGCTTAAAACATAATTAAACATGAATAAGTAATAAGAATTTAAACTGATCTTACCTGATGATGATTTTTTCAATGGATTTCATGTCAAGGATGCTCGATAATTCTGGATAATATTCAACAAAAAACAAACGATCTGGAACACAGCTACGGAAATAACTGATGATATCAGCAAGGTCAACAGATGATGGAGGCATTTCATTCAATGTCAAAGTTTGTAATCTCACAAAAGGGGAAACTTTACTTTCAAGTAATTCAGGGAAACTTGAAAGAAACTTCAATGTAGCAGTGTTCAAAGTAAGGAACTTTGTGTTACACATTTGATGAAATATATTGATCATGAATTCAACATTCTTTTGTTGTTCTCCTATTGATCTGTTGTCATAAATGGTTCGAAAGACTACATTTTCTAATGAATTGAAATCACTGGTTAACAACAAACACAGATGATCCATGCGATCATATGTGAAAGAGGAAAGTTTTGGTGCTGAGATCACAAACTGACATGAATGATGAAAAACGTTTAATCTCAGATTCTCTAATTTACTTGATGTGATATAGAAAGTATTAACTCTCCATAATTGACAATTAACCAAGACAAGATTCTTCAGATTTGAAAAGGTGGAAAACAAATCCAAGGATTTGTTATCAGTAGGATACAGCATGAATGAAACCCTTTCAAGATGCAAAGTAGTCAAAACAGGCAAATCCCATGTGAGATTTGGAGTTTTAAAGAGCTCAAAATCGATATTCAAACAAAGATCTTGAAGAAAATGAGATCTAAACAAAGATAAATCGAATCCACCACGTCTTGTTAGGATAAGACTCGGGTATTCAATGTTTATCTTTTGAGTAATGTGAGACATTGCATAAGATATCACCTCTTTGAGAAGACTTAGCCTGATTGAAGTTGACCGAAAGTCAATGGTGACAATTTCTGCATCATTCTTACGATTGGAGAGAAATCGGTGCATGAATTTGGGAAATTTCTTATTGGTGAAAGGAAGGGTTTCAAAGTTGAGATAGGGGTGGGATCTCCATTTATGTATCCACCTTCGTGAGAGAGCGCTACTTTGAACAATGGATCTTGTATCCATTAAGGAGTACATGTAATGAATAACATCATTTGGCAAACGAGTAATTCGATCATTATTGTCCATCGGCTCTTTATCAATATTGATATCATCAACTATCATTGGTTTTCTCTTCACCATTTTTGAGGTATGGAGCCCTAATTCTAGAGAATTGGTTTCGGTGTTTGATTTTGGGATTGGGGATGTGTATAGAGGAAATAGGGAATACCCTTTTCGTTTTCCTTTATAGCCCTATGATATGTAAGTTGAGCTGGCTCTCGAGTTATTACTCACCGCTAAGCATTGAATAGATCATTGAAAACAAGAGGATAGTTATCCTTTGTTTCAAATAAGATTCGAGGTATACGAGTTAACTCATTAATAGTTATATAGAACTCAAAATCCTTCATGAATGTTGCAATTATGACAAGCTATACACTACACTAAGGCGAATCGTGAAACTAAAGGAAATGTGCCATAGGCTTATACATATATAGAGATTGCAACTTCCATAAAATGTACACTGTGACGACTTTAATTTCGGTGTTGAAAAACTCTTTTAAGTTTAAAAACCCAATTTATTTAAATTGCATTTTAATTTAGCAGTCTGTTGACCTTAAAAAACAAACAGTCTTCTTGCGAAATGCAAACGTTTGATCCACCTCTTCTTCTGTAGATGTTGTCCGCTTAGTCCAGTCTGAAGACCTTAAAAAACAAACATTCTTCTTCTTGCAAACTGCAGATGTTTGGTCCACCCCTTCTTTTACAGATGTGGTCCGTAGACTCCAATCTGCAGACCTTAAAAAACAAGCAGTCTTCTTCTTGCATATTACAAACGTTTGGTCCACCTCTTCTTCTGCAGATGTGGTCCGCAGATTCCAGTCTACAGACCTTAAAAACAAATAGTAGTCTTCTTGCAAACTGCAAACCTGAAGACCTTAAAAAAAACAGTATTCTTCTTGCAGACTACATACATTTGGTCCACCTCTTATTCTATAGATGTGATCCGTAGACTGCAGACCTTAAAAAACAAATCTTCTTGCAGTCTTCTTCTTGCAGATTGCAAATGTTTGTTCCGCCTGTTCTTCTGCAGATGTGGTCTATAATAGATATGGTCTACAGACTGTAGACATTTACATCTTAAAAAATAAACAGCACCTAAGTTTTCAACAAGAATTCGATAGAATCTTTTGGATAAGCTACGTCATAACAAAATTTGAAAACAAGATGTGGATCTCAATACAACATTTTCTATGAACTCCCATGTGTACATATTTTTGTTCTCAACTACTTGTTTCACTTTGACTACACTATACTATATATAGCCAATTGCAAGAATGCAATCACAAAATCCGTTTAAAAAAAGAAGAGAAAAACCTTTTTGCTGTGTTATTAAAGCTATATAGAAATTTGTTGAAATAACAAATTCATTATCACCCAAAATAGACTACCCGCTTCGAATAATGGAACACATTATCTTTTGAATAACGTCCATGGACCATTGATATGAGTTTTCCACTAAAAAGTATGCAACAGTTTTTCAAAAACAACTCACTGTAAAAAGTCTTTAGTTTTTAAGGAGTATATGCTCTAATGCTCCTTGATCTTTGTAAATCTTCTAGACAAAAGTTTGGAATTACAAAAATCAATACATTCATCTTCAATAAAAAGATGCAGATTAAGGTTACTTGGGGAAAACTGCTACGAAAGTTTAGAATTGCGTAAATCCAGAGATTTATCTTCAATAAAAAGATGCAGATTGAAGCAATATAAGAAATATTGCTACTAAAACACAAAAATTTATACCCCACATCAAAACGATCTAAGATTGAATCTTTGAAATTGTATATGATTAATTCATAACTAAATCCAGGTGAAATCCGCAGTAGGATCATAGAACACACTGTTGCACAACACATATAGAACACGATGGCAACAATAAGTGCTTGTTCATCAGGGAAAACCAAGCAACAGAGCAATTTACAATCTAAGATTAAATTAACGAAATTAAAAGCAACATACCTCCATCCACAGCGATAACGAATCAAAATTTTAGCTACTGAAAGGCACAATGCCAATCAAATTTAAGAATCCTACAAGCACCCAATTAAAAATCTAGGTTAATTAAGAATCCTAGAATTAATTTCGAATCCAGATTTAACAAACTGGAGCTACGATATAGAAAAAAACTAACATCTTCTAAATGATTTGGAAACATTTACACATCTTCATTTTATTAGCAATCAAAATTGTAGATTGGCTCACCAGATAGTAACGTTCATCACTTCATCGTAGCTCCATCGGTTGAAAATGATATCAAAGAAAACTAATTTGCTGCAAATATGTTTCTACAGTAGCAAATTTCCCGTGATTTTTTTTTAAATAAGAAAATAATTAATAAAACTACTTCCATGTCTACATCCGATTCTTTCTACATCCAATCCAACTTTTTTACTAAAAAGTTCTAGTTTATTTCTTTTTTATATTAAGAACTAGAATTTAAAATTGCCCCTTTGCTTACGATGTTTTAGTCGCACTAAACAAAAGTATTATCACTAGTTGTGTTATTGTTTTGTGTGTATTGTTTGGAGGGACAAAACTTGCCAAAATAAAAAAGTGTAAGGATCAAACATGCAAATTTTCTAGTAGGTATCTACTATTTTGTAAATTTTTTTAAACATGTGTACTGTTTCTATAAAATAAATACACAATGTCATTATATATATATATATATATATATATATATATATATATATATATATATATATATATATATATATATATATATATATATATAGGGAAATGATCAAATGAGAACACCTAAAAGGTTGAGAACGCGAGAACAAGTATATTCATTTCTGATTCCATGTATTCATTTGTGGAGAAATGATAAATTTTTACGTATAATCAACATGAATATGCTTTTTCTCTTCAATTGAAATTAAATGCGTAAAAATTTATCATTTCTCCACAAAATGAATATATGGAATCGCAAATGAATATACTTTGTTCTCGCGTTCTCAACCTTTTTTTTGTTCTCATTTGATCCTACTCTTATATATATATATATATATATATATATATATATATATATATATATATATATATATATATATATATATATATATATATATATATTAATTTTGAAGTATCACGTGAACAGGACTTGGCTGTGATTGGACCCCTTCCGATTTTTTTTAATCATTCTCTAATTTATTGTAACACCTATTTGTGTTATGTGGTATTTGCTTGCTTCCCTTACCGGCCGTTCGCTTCATCTATTAATTCTTACGACCTTCCACATTCTTCCTCCATCTCTTTCTTCCTTCCACACATACCCTTCCATCTCTATCGGTGTAATGTTACAATCGGCGATGTGATCGGTAACGAAGTGAATGCCTGGAATCAATTTTTGTCACCGTTAATCACCACCTGCTCAATCGCCTATGCACAATCCCGCCGTTTATTGGAATCCGAATCAGGGTTTCTGTCGGAGTAGGTAATCAAATGTCTATGCTTTCATCTAATTCCTCCACTGCCTCATCTACTGCTCATTTGCTCAATTTTCAGACGGCCAATTTTTTTTTCCAGTTCCATCCACAAATAGACCTACCTTCGACCACCGGTCGCTCAAAACGACTCTCTTTCATACCCAACCGACAATCAACCATCCGGTGTTGACGTCCCACCAGCGGAGAAGAGGCAGACGATCGCCCCACCCCGACGCCTGATGTTTATTTCTTCTATACCTTAAACATATTTTTTGTTCAAGCCCTAAATAGATTCTTGAGTCCGACGACAACACCTGGCCTGTAAGTTCCCATAACTGAACTCCTTTTCGTTATATTCTTTCTCATTATCGATTGTGATAAAAACATTTCCCGATAGTTGGGTTTTCTGCTTTTGAATTTGGGTTTTTAGTTTAGGAATTGGTCTTCGATGAGAAAACTGTGTTGGCTACGATAATAGGGTTCTTAGGTTCTATCGTTGCTCCATACTGGATCAGTATTGTCAATGACTTTTTGGTGTGTTTTTGTCCCTCTTGCTATTGCTATGTTTCATATGGTGAAGGGTAGTTTGGTCAATTTAAAATTATTTCAAGGAAAGATGAACCACACACACACACACACACACACATATATATATATATATATATATATATATATATATATGTTCTATGGAAAACAAAAAACCCTAAAAATCATAAAAATGCATAAAAAAAATACTTAGAGATTACAAGACTTTTTTTTGAATTTTTTTTTTTATAAAAAATCGCAGCTTTTAATAAAAATTCGCTGAAAAAAAAAATAATAATAAATTTTTTTTTTCAATAAAAAAAAAGTTATTTTTTCAAATTTTTTTTTCTGCGATTTTCTTTAAAAAGCTGCGATTTTTTCTTAAAAAATGTCAAAAAAAAAGTTTTGTGATCTCTAGGTATTTTTTTATGCATTTTTATGATATTTAGGGTTTTTTTTGTTTTCCAAATAACCTTTCCCTATATATATATATATATATGGGAAAAGTGAATATACCCTTAAGGGTATATAAGCTTAGGTACCCAAACTCACTATACTACATCGTTTTGTATCATATATATACATTGTAATTGTCTAATGTTCTTATAATTCAACTTCTAACTTGGTTCACTTCGAAGATTTTTATAAATTTCACATTTATAGTCCTCTTACATAATTTTCATTTTCAACTATAATAATATAGCCTAGTAGTGTTCGACAAAAATATGTGATGTAAGAGGAAGATAGTAGTGAAATTTTGGAAATGTTGAAAGTAAATTCAATTAATGGTTGAAGTTTAACAACATTATAATGAATATATCAAACAAAATGACGTATTATGGTGGATTAGGGTACCTAAGCTTATATACCCTTAAGGGTATATTCACTTTTCCCTATATATATATATATATATATATATATATATATATATATATATATATATATATATATATATATATGTGTGTGTGTGTGTGTGTGTGTGTGTGTGTGTGTATGTGTGTGTTTTAAGCTACAAGATGTCAGAAGAGGTTTGAAAACTCTGGTCCACATATGCGTCAAGAAGAGGACACGTAGACTTTTTTTTTGTCAGCCGTCTTAAAAAAAAAAAACAGTCTGTAAACCCTAATGGTTGCACTTGGTTTGTGCGGTACAGACAGAAGAGGCCAAGAAGATTTACAGACAAAAAACAACTACTTAAATCTACCAAAATATAAATAAAAACTATCATAAGAATTTTATAATTAATAGATTTAACAACTCATCTAAACCCATATTTTTATAACTACAACAAAACCAAAATAAATTTTTTATTAAATATAAATAAGTCACAAAAAAATATTTTTGAAAATTTTAAAATAGTTAATTAGTTTTAAAAGCCTCTAATATTTAAAATAAATTTTGGCTAAATATCCATACTAGTGAATACAAACTAGTGAATACAAAAGGGAAAATAACTTATTAAGGTAACTAACTATTTCAGTTGTCCATATATAGGTAATGTTCTTTTTTTGTACACATTAAGGTAACTAACTTGTTCTGTTTGTTCACATTTAGGTAATATGACCGGCTATCACCTGTTTTTGCTTATGTGGCATCCACCTGGCATATGACTTGAATACGTTGCACATACGTGGCATCCACCTGGCATATGACTTGTTTTGTTTCTTCTTCCTCATCTTATTCTTCAAAACAACAAGATGAATTTCAAGCTGATCATCCATGTGATTGCTGCTTACCATCTCGTGTGAAGATTTCAAGAACTTTTGACAACCATGGAAGAAAATTTAGAGTTTGTCAAAACTCGATGGTAAATCAATATTGTTGAATATGTTGCAGGAGTTCTTGAAATTTTCACACGAGATGGTAAACCGCAATCACATGGATGATCAGCTTGAAATTCATCTTGTCATTTTGAAGAATAAGATGAGGAAGAAGAAGCCATCGTCGATCGATCTAGGGTTTAGAATTAGTGGTGGAATCGTATGATACAGTTATAGTATAATCGAATGAAGACAATATATGCACTATGCCACGTAGGTGCAAAGTATTCAAATCATATGCCAGGTGGATGCCACATAAACAAAAACATGTGATAACCGGTCATATTACCTAAATGTGAACAAACAAAACAAGTTAGTTACCTTAATGTGTACAAAAAAAAAAGAATATTACCTATATATGGACAACTTAAATAGTTAGTTACCTTAATAAGTCATTTTCCCATACATGCACCATGCCATGTAGGTGCAACGTATTCAAGTCATATGCCAGGTGGATGCCACATAAGCAAAAACAGGTGATAGCCGGTCATATTACCTAAATGTGAACAAACAAAACAAGTTAGTTACCTTAATGTGTACAAAAAAAAAAAGAACATCACCTATATATAAACAACTGAAATAATTAGTTACCTTAATAAGTAATTTTCCCAATACAAAATCAAACAAGTTGAAATATTGAATAGTAAGGTATGTTAATATTATATTAGAAAAATTATAAATTAAAATTATTTTCAATTTTTAATCATAAATTTTAAGATATAAATTTTGATATTTATAAAAATTAGTCAAACCAATAATAAAATGGTGTTTGTCATAAAAAATTTAAAGAAATTTCTAAAAGGTTCAACGATGGGATTGGTATCATACACCATAAAATAGAAATAGTAAATTACTAACTTGTAGTAATAAATAACAGACCACGAATCTAACAAATTTATAATATTTTAGTTGAATTCTCTGTAACACCACATTAACCTTAATCGAAGCAAGGTTAATGTTAATATTTTATGTCAAACCCCATCTAGTTATTTGACTTCAAGTAGAGTATTTGAAGCCGCAAAAAAGACTTTGGGTATGTTCAACTTATAGTTTTTACGAAATATATCAAATTAATTAAAATCTTCATTCATAATTACGAACTTAAAGCTTTTATTTTAAACAAAAGCTTTCAATCCATAAGCTACTTCAAAACAAAACAAAACAAAACAAAAACAACTTTAGATGTTTGACTACCATATCACACTGTTTTCACCAACTTATTCAGACAAAACAAACCATCAAACCTCAAACTTTAAGGATCTCAAAACAAGATTCAACAAGAACTGAATAAAAACCTTAGATGACAATGATTTCTTGATTTTTTTAAACCCCTACAAACAGTCAATCCAACGAATCTTCCATGAAGCTGCTACACCAATTTCAACATTAACTTTAACACCTGGAGAACTTCTACGAAAATAATCAATAACATCAGAAAACACAATCGATGAAGGAGGCAATCGATGTTCAACCAAAGTCAAACTAGTCAAACTCATAAAAGGGCATCTTCTTCTTCTTTCAACTACTTCAGGGAACCCCGAAAGAAGCCTCACAACATCTGAATTTATAGCAAGAAACTTCGCCTTATGAAGCTGTTTGAAAGCCTTGATCATCAATTCAACAAGCTCTGGTTGCTTCTGAAGAGCTCTATAATATATTGTGTGAAAGTTTACTGTTTGTAACAAGTCAAGATCATTGGCTGATAATGAAAAGCGGGCCATACCATAGTAAGTGAAAGATGAGAGATTTGGTGTTGAGAGTATAAACTCAGAATTGTGATTTAGATCTATAAGACTCAGATTGTGTAATGAATTTGATGTGATGATGAAAGTATCAATGTTTGATAATCGACAACCGATTAAAACAAGAGTTTTTAGATTTGGAAAACGGGAAAACAAATCAATGGATTTACACTTATTATCAGTAGGAGAAAGAGGATTAAGTGTAAATGTAACACCTTCAAGATTCAAGCTACTCAAACAAGGTAAATCCCAAGTCAAAGATGGAGATTTCAAGAGCTCAAAATCGATACTCAAATGAAGATCTTGAAGGAATTGAGATCTAAACAAAGATATATCCAATCCACCATGTCTTGTTAGTTTATTACTCAAGAACTCAATGTCTACCTTTTGGGTTCTGTGTGACATTGCATAGATTATTGTTTCTTTGAGAATTGAAAGCTTGATGGAATTTGATTGGAAGTCAATTGTGGTGATTTCTGCTTTGTGATCACGATTTGAGAAAAATCGGTGGATGAAATTGGGGAATTTGATACCTGTTTTGTGATGAATTGGGCGTTCGATTTTGAAGTTGAGAAAGGGGTAGGATTTCCATGTTTCTCTCCATCTTCTTGATAAAAGACTAGTTTGAACTGCATATCGAGTGTCCATGAATGAATAGATATGATGAATAAGATCATCATGAAGACGACTTATTCGATCATCATCATTCAAGTCTTCTGTTGCCATATTCGAAAGTTTAATTGATTTCCTTCGCCCCATTTTTATTTGGGGCAAAAGTTGTGTGATTGATTCAAAGGAATTCGGTGTTCACAAGAGAAAGATCAAAAATGTAGAAATGGTGTTTTGAGGGTTTGAGTGTTTGAGTTTCCTTTGAATTGAGCCCTAATTATATATACAACAAGGCTGCTTATTGAGTATTGGTATTTTTGCTTTCTCTTTTAGCCTTATGTTCATTGATTTTGGACAAGTGTACTATTAACTCCTTAGTGATGCGTATGTATATCAAGTCCTTAGGTGCCACGTTGGCAGAAAGGTGTAAGATACCATGGTTTTTTGAAAAAGAAAAAATAAAGAAAGAAAAACTTCCCAATGTGATAACCAAACTTAAATAATCAAAACACTAAATGCAAGTTCTCATTGAGGCAATTTGTCGAACATAAGAAAGAATGTTAGATGGAGAATATATTTATTAAGCATATGATTATTCATATAAAAAGAATAAAACTTCCATAATATGTACAATGTGACATCAAAATGCAAAAAGAATCCCTGAGTTTCAATTTACAGAATGCAGCACAAAATTGGTATAACAGATTGCCTACACAGTTCCTACAGAACAACATATCATATGATCCAACAGATGTTAATGCACCATTTTTATTTTCATTTTAGAAGATTATATCTGCTAGTTATTTTAAAATTCATACAGGACTACTGACTCGATCTTGCAACATGCTTGCATAAAGTAGTGTCGTTGTTGTCCATTAGCTATTAATGTTTGACTCATATAGATCCACTTCTTGGCTCAAGAACAGTGATCTCAATTTGAAAATCGGGGTGTTTTACATGCCAATCTGTTTTGACATAGTTCTAGAGATTAAATCCAATATCCTTACACAAATGATGATACAACCACTGAATGTGTATATGTATTAATATGCTTATGAGGTTGCAGAAGTCAACTTATGATTACAAGTAAACTATCAGAACAATGAAATCAACAGCATGGTGTCGTAATTATAAATAATTAAGATCGAATCATAGTCTGACTTACTCTTTCCCTATCGTTACAGAGTTGATCATGATATTTCTGAATCAGAACAGCAGTGTGATACGATATGCTGGTTTTGATAAATCTGGCTCTGCGAATCAAAATCCACAAATAGAGATGAGGAACAGAGACGCTTCTGTAAGATGAGTATCTTCGTCGATCATGAAATGAAAATTTCTTCGATATTTGCCCTGATCTCCTTCGGAACACAGATGGGTAATATGCTATCAAGAAAGGTCACATTTTTTTGCCCTAATACGTTGTCATCAGGACACAGGAATATGGGTAACAATCTGCCATGGTGTTTGCCATTTTTTATTTAATTTTTTTTATATAAATATGTTAAGGTGGATACCAAACTATTCGATTTGTAGTTATTTAGTCTATAAACTATAAAGTTTGTTTAATTTATAAAAGTATCTTTAATTTGTTATTCTTTTTTATTAAAAGCTTTTTTTATTATTTTATTAGTCATAACCATCTAGAGCAAGGTTACACCATAGTTGTCAAAATCGCGATCCTGATCGTAGGATCGTATGATCCTATGATCCTAGGTATGAAAAACGATCCGGATCGTAAAAGGATCGTATTTGGGGTAGGATCGCAGGTAAGATCGTAAGATCGTAGATAGGATCGTAGGATCGAGATCCGATCCGATCCTACCTTCCTTTATTTTATTTTATTTTATTATTTTTTTTTTTTTTGCAAATGAAATTTTTTTTACCACTTTATGCCTTTTATCCTTTACCAATCTACCATTTATCATTTTTTATTGTGATTTATGACTAATATTTTGAAGTTTTTATAACTTTTGAATGAAAAACTAAATGTTTGAAATAGTTTTCATGATTAAATATTATAAATTAAAATTATATTCTATTTTGTGGGATCTTAGGATCTCGATCCCGATCTTGCAAACCCAAAATCGATCCTAGGTAGGATCCCGATCTTGACAACCTTGGGTTACACCTTAAATAAAGTTTATCTCTTCCCTAATAAAAAAAAAATCCTCTTTGAGAGATGTCACTTCAAATTATAATATTTCTGCAAAGTTAATTGATTATTTTGCTTTCATTTAATTTAAATTATGTATACATATTAATTTCCATCAATTTTAATCTTTAAATCTGTTAATTTTGAATCAAATCCTAAAAACAAGCAATCATATTTAATTTCAACTCCATAATAATAGTGCAATCATTTATCTTCATAAATTATTTCTGGCAATTTGCATATCATAAATCGGTAATTTCTTTGAGTCAATGTAATCAATGATAAATCAGTAACTAATCTCCTTTAAAACTGAAATTGATTACCCGTGGTTCCTACAGGTTGTAACCTAGTGTTTAAATAAGCATCAATTCAGTTATATAATTATAATGATATATATAGAGTGAATTTTTCTTTTTAAATATGTAATTTTAGAGATATGTATGTATATATATATATATATATATATATATATATATATATATATATATATATCACTGTTGTAAAAATCCCGACTACGTCCCGATTAATCTCCGATTAATCCCTAGGCGCTACTCGACCGATTAGAGGGCGCCTAATGATTAATCCCTACATACACAATGAATGAAACATTATAAAACGATGAAATATTAACATTTTGAAGAAGTTTTATTTCAATAGAAACAATCTGAGCCATGATTAGTGTTGTATTAATCATATTAACATATTTTCTTATCATAATAGTGGTATTTACGAACTTTGATATAATATTAGTCATATTTAATATTTTAAAATTCAACAATTTAGCAATTAATGGTCCCCGATAAATCTCCACCTAGCCGATTAATCTCTTGACCCCAGTCCACTGACTAGCTAACGTCGAGCGTTTTTTACAACCTTGATATATATATATATATATATATATATATATATATATATATATATATATATATATATATATATATATATATAGTATTTTTATGAATTTTAGGGTTTATTTAGAGTTTATTTTTGTTATATATATATATATATATATATATATATATATATATATATATATATATATATATATATATACACACACACACACTTAGAGATCACAATATTTTTTTTGACTTTATATTCTTTAAAACCGCACCTTTTTAAATAAATTCGTTGAATTTTTTTTTGAAAAAAAAAACAAAAAATATAAAAAATAAAAAATCGATTTTTTTAATTTTATTTTTCAGCGAATTTATAAAACAAAAACTGTGATTTTTAAGAATATAAAGTAAAAAAAAAATTGTGATCTCTAAGTATTTTTTTTATGCATTTATATGATTTTTAGGGTTTTTTTTTATTTTCCATATAACCCTTCTGCGCGCACGCACACACACACACACAGATATATATATATATATATATATATATATATATATATATATATATATATATATATATATATATATATATATATATATATATATACACACACTTCCTGACAAGTCACCACTAATTCATTGCTCCCACAAGTGTAACAATGGTCAATCCAAAAATTTTGCATGACATTCAAAATCCCATAACAACTTAGATGTACAACCATTTGATAAATCATCCAAGAGACCTACAACGAACTCCATTACTGGTAACTTAACTCACATGAAACCATTCTAAAAAACGAACAAGGATCCACTAAGAAGAAGGTTAACAAGGAACTACTGATAAACAAACGTGACTTTTTCAACAAGTCAATATCCTACCAAAGTCCGAACCAAACATATCAGCGACTACACAATTTTCAGGTCCAACTTACATAGGTCAAATGATGGTTCACAATACATTGTGACACCATCCAACCATTGGAATGAGAAGCTTATGATTCTGCATAGATCTTGCCATCATCTCACCACGGGTATGAATACTCACGACAAATATAACATCCCCCCTCTGAAACGTATCACAATATTGTCCGTTTTGGTCTCCCAACATAAAAACTTTCCAGGGGTCACCCATCACGGGATTGCTCTCGTCCAGACACACTTAACTGTAGAGTTCTTATGGGATTTACTGTCATTACGTCTTTAAAATGTGTTGTCAGGGAAGGTATCTACACCCTTATAAGGAATGTTTAGTTCTCATTCCCAACCGATGTGGAATCATGTTCAACCCACCTTCACCCCCTTTACATGGTTCAATGTTCCCGTTAAGCACATCGACTAGTGTCCCAACTCTGATACCATTTGTAACATCCCCCTGACACGTATCACAATATTGTTCGTATTAGACTCCCAACATGAAAACTTCCCACAAGGTCACCCATTGTAACATCTCCAAAAAAATCATAATAAATTTTATCTTTTCAAAAACAACTCAAAACCATAATTGTTTACAACAACATTGTTTCATAAGTGTATTTCAGTAATCCAAGCATCCCAAAGTCCAATATCATAAAAACCAGAAGAATGTGCATGATCACGCCTTCGCCTTGCTACGATCATTTAAAGTACCTGAAACAAATAACTGAAACTATAATCATGAAGCTTAGTGAATTATCCCAAATTATCAACATACAACATATACTGGGTCAATAGCTAAAAGACTGGATCACCCCTAAGCCTACAATATGAGTCTGGCTTGCCTATCAGGCCCACAACTCATATCTTGCTTGCTCCTGAGCCCACATCATAAGTCCGGGTTGCCCTCGGGGCCCACAGCTTATGTCTGGCTTGCTCCCGAGTTTGTTGGCTACATCACAAAGAAGTATCACCTCAACCCAACTGTCACACCCCCGAACCAGGATGACGGAAACGTCCGGGGGCGAATGACTTCATTGTATAGTATCACAACAATTAAATATGAATGAAGCATAGCAACCAAACATCATACATTTAAATATATCAACATACAGTGGTTACAAGTTGTATTTGTTCACAAATTTATACAAAAGTGACATAAAATGTGATGTTCCAAAATGTAACGAATATCCAAAATCCCTAGTCCAAGTACCTGTTTACTGAGTCCCTGATAATACAATTCGTTT